TGATTATGGCATTCCCTTCTAAATGTTCACAGGCTCTCTGTTAAATGATCTGCTTTTAGAAACTCAGCTTCCTCTGTAAGGAGCTACCTCAACATGATGACAAAATGGTCTTGTATTATGCGATAAAGATAAAGGTAGCTACTGAAGCAATGAAAGTTAATATGCTGTCCCTGAACTTGTCAGGAGGTCATGTCAGTTGTTTCTCTTTGTATTTGGAATAGGGACTGGACATTTCCAAGATATATATGCAGTTCATACTCTCAACTGTAGAGTATGGTGGCTATTCACCTATAGCTGCCTTCTACAACATGTTGAACCAACTGCAGTGGCCATGCTGTCTGTGGATGATGGAAACTGTAGTCCTAACACACCTAGAGGTTAACCTGAGGAGGGAAATCCTAGCACAAATTCAGCTATTGAGAATTTATTCTGTTCACCCCAACTCCCCTGGGCTCACACTGTCCTTTCTTCAATACTGTTAGGCCTTTGATCAAATGGTGCTTTGTTTGATGCCAGGACATAGGGTCACTTATAACTGTTAGTCATTTCACAGTACATAGAGACAAACTCCCTTTATCCAAAAAAAAAAGTTCATATCTGGTCACTTGAACCAAATTGCTCCACTAGGAAGAAATTGGAGGGGGTATAATGGAAGGAGCAGGGAGGGTAAATTACCGTAATCTAATACAGTAAAAGTTTTTGTACTCCAAATTAATGAGTATGCTTTTGAAGCTGTTGGCAAAAACACTCCTCAAAAAACTAGTTGTGGGGATGATATTGAAAATTAATTTTCTCATACCTACAGTTCAGATTCTTTTGAAATCAAGAGTCTGTTGGATAAGCAAGGTTACTAGTAACATGTATAAGTAATTTCCTCCAAAATGCATGCAAAGCATATTAATCAGTTAAGTATTTTTCAATCATTAACCAGTTTGATTTTCTAACAAACCCATCATGGAGCCTTTCCTCCCTTTTAATAGTTAAGGGGTATAGTAAGCTGCTTTATACCAAGTCAGAACATTGGTGTTCCTAGTGCAGTATTGCTTGCATCAGCTTTCTCTAATATGGTGCCCTACAGATGTGCTAGAATAGTGCAACTTGCAGCATTCCTATCTTATACTGCTGGTAATGCTGGGAATACCCAGCTGGGAACTGCAGTCCCACCATTTGGAAGGCACTACATAGATGAAAGCTAGCCTGCTAGACTAGTAGCATCTTGTTAGGATATTTAGAAATTTAACCTGGATATTCCAAGAATGAAACCTAAGACTATAATGCTCTCATGAAGAAGAGGACAGGGCTCTTGCAGTTTTAACAGCTGTTTAGAAGAAAGAATTTCAACATGACAAGCTACACTGACTGGAAGTCCCTCTTGTACATATTTATTAAAGGTGCAGCAGCCCTGACATCTTTTTTGTTTAAACCAGCTGCCTTTTCTGGGAACTGAACATGTGCTCTACCACTGAGCTACAGCTCTTCACAAACAAACAGAACATTAATATTTTTTCCACAGGTAGCTAGAGAATCATGTGAATTAGTTCTTGTACATTTTTAATATCATAACCACCATTGCATTATTTTCCATTTATCTGAAATTCCAAGTGAAGCTTCTGCTATTGATAGATGCCACTCCAGAAGCTGCAGGGAGAGGGCATTCTTCCATTTGTCTAAACAATGATGGGCATGTAGACCTTTTGGTTATCTTATAATAAATAATAATAAACTTTATTTTTATACCCCTTCTTTTGCCAAAGGCAATCAAGGCGGCTTACAGATGTAAAAACAATTTAATAAAACATCCTTCTACTGAACAATAAACAATAATAACAATTAAACCCCCCTCCTTATTTAAAAACAGTCTTAAAATAAAAACATAAGATTTAAAACTGCATGCTTTCTAGAAAGGTGCATACAAAGGGTATATATAGTAGTGAGAGACACAGGTTGAGTGGAGTGATCTAATCTGGGGAGGCCTGCCAGAAGAGATCCATCTTGACAGCTTTTTTAAAGATGTTCAGGTTGGTTATTTGACAGATCTCCTCCAGCAAGGCATTTCACAATCTGGGGAGAGCTGAGAACGTCCTCTGGGAGGTTGCTGCTAACCTACTTTTTACCAGTTGCAGCAGATTCCTCCCAGAGGACCTGAGGGTGCAGGGCAGATTGTATGGAAGAAGGTGATCTCTTACGTAGGTTGGGCCCAGGCCATCTTGATCTGCAGTTCCCATCATTCCTCACTACTCGCAATGGCAAATTTCCTCTGAACAAAGCTTGCCAAGAAAACTCCATGATGGATTTGCCTTAGGCTTGCTTTAAATTGTAAATGACTTGAAGGTCCACAACAACAACAACAACAACAACATGTTCTTAAACGAACTAAAGTGCTGCCCCTATAAGACCTCTGAGGAAGACAGATGTATTGCTAGTTTAGTCCCTCCTGTTGCAATGACAGGAATTGATAACACTTGTAGAAAGGTATTCAGCTCCAAAGGTCGGGGATGAGGAACACACAATCTGTGGTTCACATAAGGCTGCAAAGCCATTTTTTTCCCATCTCTTTTGTTGTACTGCTACTGTCACGAAAAACATGCTCCCAGAAATCAGTGGCACAGCTGCTTCCAGCATTAATAAAACCACACCACCGGTCTGCCCTCTTACGTGTTATAATGGTTTCCTGCTCCTGTCTTCCTCCTTCCTGTCTTTTCGTGATTCCCCTCATCTTCCTCTTGCCTGTGCACCATAAGGTAAAAGTAAAGGTATTCCTCATTAACAACTGTGTGTCTACTTTTTACCAGTTGTGTCCAACCATAGGGGGTAGTGCTCATCCCTGTTACTAAGCCGAAGAGCCAGCGTTGTCAGAGACTACTCTGTGATCCTGTGGCCAGCATGATTGCACAGAACGCTGTTCACCTTCCCACCAAAGTGATACCTATATATCTACTTGCATTTGCACACTTTCAAACTGCTACATTGGCAGAAGCTGGGACTAGTGATGGGAGTTCACCCTATCATGCAGCACCTGGACCTCGAACTGCCAACCTGCTGATCTTGCAATCAACAGAGTCAGCATCTTAACCACTTGAGCCACCATGCACCGTAAACAGCTGCTCAATTTGGCAAATTTGGTAGTGGCTAGGTGGTTGTTTGTTGTAGTGTATTTTCAAGTTGTTTCTGACTTATGGCAACTCTGTTGTGGGGTTTTCTTGGCAAGATTTGTTCAGAGGGGGTTTGCCATTGCCATCCTCTAAGGCTGAGAGAGTGTGATTTGCCTAAGGTCACCCAGTGGGTTTTCATAGCCAAGCGGGGAATCAAACCTGATCTCCAGAGTCCTAGTCCAACACTCAAATGACTATGCCATGCTGGCTCTCCCAGCTAGCTGTGGCAGCAGCAAATTCAGTGGTTTTATGCAACCCTCATAAACGGGCAGGTTTGTGCAAATGAGGATAAGGGCTTCTGCACTTTTATTAGAATGAAAATCTCACTTCCACATGACAAATTGCATCTACTGTTCTATACAATTATAACAAGAACCCTGTCTTTTGCCATCCAGGCTTTCAGTAGCAGCAAGGGTTCCTGTTGGATTACCAATTTTTTTGTTTACAATTTTCAGTTTCTCTTTCTTCAGAAAAAGAGAAGGGATATGTGTTCGCCCCCAGCTTCCTTGTTTTTCCCATCCCTTCTGTTTGTTGCATGTCAGAACAGAAGTACCTCGTATTAGGTATCTGGGAGGTCTAGGTTTTTTTGGGGGGGGGGGATTCTAGTCTAGGTATCTGGGAGGATGGCCAATTCAAAATTAGTCTTGCTTCCTACCTCCATAACCCCAACTCTTCTCCAGTGTTGTTTACCAGGCAAAGCTAGGAGAAACTGACTTGACAACTTGGCTGGTGTAAGATCAGTGCCCTCTAGTGAAAGATCCTGGGAAATCCATGTGTTCCCTTCGCTCTTTAGTTATTTACTTCCTCTCTGATCTGTGGCTCAAGTTTGCTGTTGTTGTTGTGCACTTTCAAGTTGTTTCTGATTTATGGCGACCCTATCACAAAATTTGCTTGGCAAGCTTTTTTTTTTCAGAGGGAATTTGCCATTGCCTTCCTCTGAGGCTAAGAGAGTGTGATTTGCCCAAGGTCACCCAGTGAGTTTCTGTGCCTGAGCAGGGATATGAACCCTGGTTTCCAGAGTCCTAGTCCAGCGTTTAAACCACTACACAACTCTGGGACTCATGGCTCAAGTTACACTGACTCAGGTTACACTTTGTCTCATCACACTTTGACAGAACAGAGCCCCCCATCTTACTTTGTTTGTCACTTATACCCTACCTTTGTAATCCACTACTGTCTTTTTCAGAAATATTATTCTAAAGGACTTAATTTTACATACACAGTTGTGAATTGCAATTAAAATATTACAACCCCAGATCAAGAGATTGGTCAGCTGGGCTCTCTTTAAAGGCTGTGTTGTGCTTTATGTTGAATCTCCACAAATGCCTGACCCACAACCACTTTATGTTTGTATGCACATGCCTATACACCAGGGGTAGGCAACCTTTCTCCTTTAATGGCCGAGGAACTTCAGCTCCCAGAATCCCAGGAGCTATTGGCCAACATGGGACTATTGGCCAACATGGCTGAGGCTTCTGGGAGCTGAAGTCCTTCGGCCCTTAAAGGGGAAAGGTTGCCCACCCCTGCTATAAACAGAACCATATATGCGTGTAACTCCCCCCTACCTGCCTTTCTTGTGATAAGGAAGAGGTCATTACATTACTTACTACATTTTGAAAACCTTCTGTCTTTACATTCATCAGGGCCACATTCTTGGAGGAGTTCAGTGGGTTTCATAAAACCTTAATGTCTCTTCAAATAGAACTACAAACATGACTTCCTCTCTAATAACTACATTTGTATATTCATTTTTGATAAAGGGCAGCTAAATAGAGTGACAGCTGCTGCACACAACAGATTTTTGATACAAAAGGGCAAGAAATTGTTAGTTGGTGTAGGAGTAATAAGAATCATTCTTGTGTTTTTCCAGAAAAGAAGCAGAATAAGGGGTTGTGAGATTTTCTTGCTTATTGTATACTTTGACTTTGGGAAAGGGGGCAATATTTGTTGCACTGCCTCAGATAGCAAAGTATTTGGAAATGGCCTTGTCTGTGGTTCCGTCTCTCTGTATTTTATCTTCAGAACAAGATAAAAGGGTGAAAGGACCCAAGTCATATAAGTGCTGAGAGGACTGGTCGTACTCCACCTGGGTTTTACTTCATCTGAACACCAGAGGAAGATCATAGCACTACTTGCAAGAAAAAGAAAGATAAAACTCCCCATTTTCACTTCCTTCTGGAGTGTGCGTGTGTGTGTTTGTGAATGGTTTGTGTTGTTTTATGGGAGTTTGCAAATGGAAACCTCATCCTTCCTTCCTCTGAAACAGCTTCTGGGGCAAGATTCCTTTCCTCCCCATTTTCCTTTCTCTCTGGAGCGTGTGTATGTATGCACTTGGAAATGACAGTTTTTGAGCATCACTTCTGGTGACGCAACTACTGCTTCTCTGCGCATATTTCCAAACCATCAACAGGATTTGTCCACATCTGTCTGAAAACCAAATGCACTTTTTACCCATTTTATCACATTAGTAATGTGTTTTTATCAGTTGGTTGTGCTCTGCGTATGAAAATCAATTGCACATTTGTGTGCTTTTCCAGGATGTGGACACTAATAATTTTCAAAATGGAAACACATAGGTCCCCATGTGATAAATTCCATAGTTGTGTTGGCAGAACTACTTTGCAAAGCTTTGGGGAGGGTTCTAAGCAGTTATTCATTCTGGAAAACAAACTGTCCAAAAATAAATACATCAGTTGTGCCAGCAGAAGACACATTTGTACTTCTAGTCTGTGTAAATGGAATTATGTCTTTTTAAGCTGGAGTTGCTGCTCACAAGAATTTGGTCTGGGTCAAAAGCTAGAAGCACCCCCTGAAACTCTTGGTGAGAACCACACTAGACATTACAGAAGAAGATGCATGACAACCACATGCATGACCATCACTGCAGTTTATATCACCAGAACACAAAACTTTTTCTAACCTTGGCTTTATTTTAACCACATCCCCACCCTTCAAATATAATTAATAATATATTAGGGAGGAGTTCAGCCCTTTCCCCTAAAAAGGTGTTTTACAGCTGTCGGTATTTGCTATGGTTTGGTTCCAGGACCACCCCTGTGGATATCAAAATCCATGTATGTTCATGTCTCATTGTGTACAGAGTATAATAAAATGGTGTCCTTTATATAAAATACCAAAACCAAGGTTTGCTTTTTGGAATATTTTCAGGCTGTGGATGTTTGAATACATGGAAGCAGAATCTATGGATACAGAGCCTACTGTACTATATACAGGGATTTTTAAAAAATATATTTATTAATTGTGAGAATGCATCTTGTCATGTAAATCCTTAGTATGTGATGCATCCTAGTCCTCAGTAGAGCCTTTATATATTTATTTATTTGCAAGTCATTCTGGAGGCCAGGATGGTGGAGGAGCACTTTTGGTGATTTGAACAGGTACAGCCTACCTTGACCTTGAGTGTATTACTGGCAAAAGTGGAACCTCTGGCCTTCAGGTTTATGAGTTGATGAAATTGCCACACAGAGCCAGAGGCACAGGCACTCAATTTACTTTTAAAATGAATAAATATTGAAAGAGCCACAAAGGTCCTAGGACAACTTTGAAGCAGCTGCCAGGTCAGGGGTAGATGCTCCCTGGTTTCAAATTGGTTCTGAATGTAGCAAAGGTCAGCAGTTTATCTGGGTTGCAAGGGAAGGCCTTCTTCTTTTCTTTTTCTTTTTTTCTACAAAGAAGCTCCATCTGGCACTGATAGGCTTGACTGTGACGTGCGTCATCGACGCATGTAGGGCAGCATAGAGCCAGTGGCCTCAGAAAATGGGCTGGAATGAAAGAGGACTGAAGCAGTGTGCACTGCACTAAAGCCAGGTTGCAAACTGTACAGCCTTGCAGATGTTGTTGGGCTGTTGTTGTCCCATCAACATCTGGAGGGCATACAGTTCTCACCCCCCACGTAAAAGCCTCGGTCTGGTGCACACTTAGCTGAAACTACTGAACGCAGTGAAGTGTATGTTCATGTTTGTTGTTGTTGTTGTTGTTGTTGTGTCTTTAAGTCATTTCCGACTTATGGCAGCCCTAATGCAAATCTATCAAAGGATTTTCTTGGCAAGGTTTGTTCAGAGGGGATTTGCTCTTGCCTTCCTCTGAGGCTGAGAAAGTGTGACTTACCCAAGGTCACCCAATGGATTTTCATGGCCAAGATGGGATTCAAACTCTGATCCCCAGAGTCCTAGTTCAACACCCAAACCACTCCACCAATCTGGCTCTTTCACATAAGCACTTAAAAAAACAAAAATACAATGTAAGCATGTAAAGGATCAGGCTTTACATTTAAGCTTGGGCTCATTTGCACAATGAAATAACCCAGTATGGAACCCAGGTTATTTCATAGGCATTCACACATCCCCCAACTGCACTCGGTGCAGTTTGGGAAGGGGCATGCCAAAAACCCACTTGACCTGGTGCATTTTGTACCTGGTCACCTAGCATGTCTTTTTTGCAGCGCCACAATTATTCAGTAGTGAGAACTTACTACCAAATCAATCCAGATTGTGTGGAATCATTTTGAAAATGGAGGCGCCTCCATTTTCAAAATAATCTGGCACATATGTCGTCTCTTCCTCCTCCCTCCCCCTCATCTTCCTCCTGCTGCTTCCCCATCCTCCTATGTCCTCCTTCATCCTCCCTCCTCTTCCTCCTCTTCCTCTCCTCCCCTCCTGCCATGATCATATCCTATTGCCGTTCCTCCCTCCAAGTTTGAATGGCAATAGGGATAAAATGCCACAGAGAGATTCAGTCATGGCAAACAAAGTGGAAACTTCAATTCAATATGGCATCGGCAAGGAGACCTGGATCTCCTTAGTAAAAAAAAAAAAAAAAGGTAAATGTGAATGATCCCAAGCTCTTACTTGGATTGGGACTTTGTGATAAACATAGATTTCCCAAATGTATGCTTATTTTATCATCTTTATGCAGAAGTCACCAGGGGAGGGAAAAGGGAAATGGCCCTACCATTCGGCAGAGGGGCTAGTTGCTCAAGGTAGGAGATTTGGGGTGCAAAGAAAGCCAATTGTTACTTAATCTGTTATTGTATTTTTCCTCCCAGTGTTCAACTTATATGCAGAACATATTGTAAGAAAAGCAGGCTTGGACATGGAAAGTAATACTCCCTATTACTATGTATGGATGTGAGAGCTGGACAGTCAAGAGAAGATAGGAGGAAAATCAATGTATTGGAGATGTGGTGCTCGAGTTGAGTGCTGAGGATCCCATGGACAGCCAAAAGGACAAACAAATGGATCCTAGAAGAGATCAAGCCAGGCAAGATGACAAGACAGAGTGTCGTACTTTGGACACATCATGAGAAGGCATGATTCATTGGAAAAGACAATAATGTTAGGAAAGGTGGAGGAAAATAGAAAGAGAGGAAGGCCACATGCTAGATGGATGGACTTTATTAAAGAGACCACCAATATGAGTTTGCAGGAGCTAGGCAGAGCAGTAGAGGATGGGGGCCTGGAGATGTCTCATCCATATGGTTGCATGGGCTGAGATAGACTCCTGGGCACTTCACAACAACAACAAATGTTCTCATATCCCCACCCACACTTCCAATTGCATGCCCACCTTTTAAGACAGTAATGTGCAGATTTTTGTAGATGTAGCTTTGTTGATTTTTGCTGCTGTTTAGGGGCTCCCTTCATTCTGCTAAATGTGACCCTTGACCTCTATCCCAAGTCCCAACCTGATGATATTCCCTCCACTTCCTTTCTCAGTCAGCTCTGAAAGTTGAAATAGGTCCATGGAGAGAAAATCCTGCATTGAAGAAGTGGCAGATGGAGGAGGGTAAATGCATACGTCCGCATCCACCAGTACTTCTGTGAAAATCCACCACATTACCATTACCTGGCCATTCCCCATCAATTCAGATGAGGTTGACTGAAAATGTGGATCATCATCAACCCTTTTCTGCACAGTATGCACCCTCTGTGCCTACCAAGAAGGAACTGTTTATTATTTATCTACTTGTTGCCCTAATGTTATGCTAAATGGAAAAGACAGAAATGTGAGAGCACAACTGTTTGTCACTGAAATACA